TCGGAAACAGGCCAAAAGAGAAGGAGGAGGAGGAGGACAAGACCCGGTCAAAGGGGGCTTTCACTTTTTCCTTCTTCTTTTTTGACATTATCGTACCAGACCGATCGCTGTCTATCTGTCACGGAACAACGCGTACGTACATCATCGCCGCTTGCTGACTCAGCACTCCTCTAGATGAATAGAACACTATCTTACGTTCTTGCCCTTAGTTTTGATGTAAATCTCTAAACTGCCATTATACATACGTGAAAATTTTCCCATTAGTCTAATGAAAATATTTGATTGATCAAATTAGATGATAGACTTGATAGAGACAAGAGAAACCAAGAATTTTGGTTCTTTAATATATTTGTTTATTTATATTTTGAACAAATATTCGAAGAAAAAATCTTAGCCCCATCTCTCTCAAAAAACACTCTACAACCGTTTTCACTTTGAGGAGGGAGGAAGTCACTATTCTTCCTTCCCTCTCCCCTTCTCCTTTTTTCTCCAATTTTTAGAAATTGAAGGTTTCATCTATTTGTCTTCGTTTTGTAATGATTTTCCTCTACTCATTACAGGTGGAAACACCTCAGCATTGAATTACCACATGCGTCTCAGTGTCGGATCTCTACCATCATTTTTTGTGTGGTTTCTTTATGTTTGGAATAAGTCGAAAAAACTCTTTGGATTTTCTGTGTAGTTTTTACCTCTCCTTTTGTGAGAGTTTTTCACATCTCATTTGTGAGAGTTTTATTTGTATTGTTATGACTTGATTTTTTCAAGCTTTATCTATTTTTGGTTATTCTGAATTTACAATTTTAGTTAGGATGCTTATGCCAGAATTTATTCAATCCTGTGTGATCGTTAGTGGAGAAGCCCTATAAATTGTCTTAATTTTGATGTTAGATCGCTCCGTTATTATAATGGCCCTTTGTGACTAATATCTATTTTGGATGAATTATGAATGTAATTCCAAAATTTCATAACCAAAAAGAAAGAATGATGCTAGACTTAGATATTTTCAACCCAAAAATCATATATAAAAAGCTTGACATATACAAGCATATATAACACATGCCATCTAATTAAGTTGTTTTATTATTTTTAGCAATTCAACTTATAATACCATTACTTGGCGGTGGTGCTATACATGGAAAATAATGAAATAGTTGTAAACACTTGGTCAAATCAAAGATCATAGATAGCTTGTAACTAAAATGAAATCATAGATGGTTGAGAAATGCACATTGGGAGATTACTCTATCCTCTTATTTGATAGAGTAGCGTAGTAATAACCGAAATAGAAATTTTATGTTTGTGTTTAAAACCAATTGATAATTGCTGAAAAAATTAAGGATCTTTTTAACATGAAAGCATGTGGAATAATTCGTGCTACCAAATATGTTATCTTCCCCATTTTGCTTAAACCATACCTTAGAAAATTATATAGGAAGGTGAACATTTTGTAAGAATATGTACACATGTATTATTACACACAGTAACCTAAAATAATATAGCCTATTTATTTTATTTTTCTTTGAAGGAAAAAATTGAGTGAGGGCATCTTCCCCCAACGGGCCATAGATACATGCTTCCTTGATGGCAACACAATATGTATATGTAATCTTCATCCAAAGACTTGACTAGATTTGAAACTAATACATAAACCGTTTAAGAAAAGTAAACTTGAAGGACTTTGTGCGTAATCTATTAATATATTACACAAACAGGTAATTACAAAGGAATTCTGAGCAGTTGAAAACAATATTGAACAACAATTTCAAAAAATAAGATAGCCTGTAAATAGATGCAGAGAAACACAGCCCAAGTTGAAGTAATCAAAGCCAAACTCTATCTTGTCACATGCTAAAACTGCGCATTTTTCGATCAAGATTCATTTGTAAAAACTAAAAACTATCTAATCAAATTTTGCTTTCATATTTAAAGCAGCAAATTGGTATTGTTTTGTAATTATAGGAGACAGTGAAGGGTAGTCTTGGAACAATATTCCTAGTCAGCGTCTACAAAAAGGAACAAGAAACGGTCTCGCCCCCGACCAAGCCGTAGATTTATTTCGCCCCATATAACTGCCAAGACCACCCGACTCCCCTTATCTTTCGAATTTTTACACCTCTCCCTTTCTCCTTTTTCTCTCCTCTCTCTCTGTGTTTCTCATTTCTCTCTTTTTCCCTTTCCAATTCTTCAAATTTAATTCCAGGAGAGAAAAAACGAAAACACACACCAGCAAACGAAAACAATCCCGAAAATGGGTGCCACAGATAACCAGGGTTCGTTTCTGAACCGAATCAGCATCCGAAGAAACCAGGTGGCTTCCATGGAAGGCAACCACGAGCAAGAGCTCGAAGACCTCGAGCACTTCCAGAAGCACGTCGCCGATCGATTCTCCGACCTCTTATCTCCCTCGGAAGACTTCCCCTCCGACCCGATGCTGTCAATTGCGTGGGTCCGGAAGCTGCTCGACGTTTTTCTCTGCTGCGAGGCCGAGTTCAAGGCTGTTCTGCTGATGGGTCGAGACCCATCTCAGATTTCCAAGCCCCCACTCGACCGACTCGTCCCGGAGTTCTTGGACCGCGTTGTCAAAGCGTTGGACATTTGCAATGCGGTCTCGCACGGGGTCGATTCCGTCAGGCATTTCCAGAAGCTGGCCGAGATTGCGGTCTCTGCTCTGGAGCAGAGGCCGATTGGGGATGGCCAGGTTCGGAGAGCGAAGAAGGCCCTGAGCGCGCTGGTGACGGGGATGGCGGTGGAGGACAAAGAAGGGGGTGGAAACAAAGCCACCGAAAGAAGCTGGTCTTTCGGTCGCAGGAGTGGCGTTTCTGCCCCGAATAAAGACCGAGCTGTCGGGCATTTTCGGGCTTTGTCGTGGGGAATGTCAAAAGGCTGGTCCGCCGCCAAGCAAATTCAGGCGATGTCGAGCAATCTGGTGGCTCCGAAAGGCAATGAGGCCTCTGGGTTGGCCCAGCCGGTTTACATAATGAGCACAATTATGCTGTTTGTGATGTGGATGTTGGTGACGGCGATCCCCTGCCAGGAGAGAACCGGGCTGATGACGCATTTTCCGGTGCCAAGGAATTTGGCGTGGGCTCAGGCCATGATCGGCCTCCAGGAGAAAATCAGCGAGGAGTGGAAGAAGAAGGAGAAGAAGGGCTCGGCTGGCTTGCTCGAGGAGATGCAGAAGATGGAGAAATTGGGGCAGAGTTTGATCGAGTTTTCGGACTCTTTTCAGTTCCCCGCGGAGGCGGAGAAGCTGGAGGAGGTGGCAGCGCAGGTGGCGGAGTTGGCGGAGACTTGCAGGAAAATGGAGGAGGGTTTGGTGCCTTTGCAACAGCAGATCAGAGAGTTGTTTCACAGGGTGGTGAGGAGCAGGACTGAGGTGCTTGATGTTTTGGATCAAGGGGGCAAAGCCTCCGCGCCCGTCATGTAAAGATCAAAACTTGGGTCCTGACTAGTCAAAGACGAAGAACAATCGAAAAGTTCAAGTTATTGAAGGAGGTGAATTTTGCAATGTTGTTCGTAGTTTCAAATTTGCTCAATGAGCCAAGAACATTAAATTTTTTTTTTTTGTTTTGATCTTGCAATGTGAATTAGAGTATAGTTATTAGAAGGGTTCATTTTGGTAGGAGTATACATAGCCTAATAGCCAAAGTGCTGAAGTATGCTTTGCTTATCTACTCTGTTTTTCTTTCTCTGTGTTCTTGGTTGGTTATTTGGGTACAGAAAATCTAATTGAAAAGAGAAAATGTACATACCCAATTAAAGTTGGTGTTTTCTCTTTTTCTATTTGGGTTCTTCAATTCTCTTTTTCTTTCTCCTTTGTCAATATTTGTTCCTCAAGTTTCTGCTTGTTAGGGTTCTGCAGTTTCTGCTTTTGCTTTTGCTTTCACCAAACACTTGTAAAATGTTCAATTTTGGAGACGTCACATCATAGTTAAAAAGTCATGAAGATAAGATGATGCCTTTTAACTACCAACCGAAAGTGAAAAAGGTGTAACCGCAATTGGGGCAAAGACAACTTCTATAATTGGCAGTCATCTGTGCCACTTGTTTCACAGGAACAAACCGCAGACCAAGTTACAGTACTCAGTACTGGCCAAAATGCTAGGTCATCCTGTGCCACTTGTTTTACTACAACTAACTTCTTCAGGGTCATTTGTGGCATTAGAAGTTTGGAACTATTTATGGTAAAGAAGACATATGGGCTCGGCAAGCCTGTCTGTGACTTTTGAGGCCTCTTACTCATTGCAGTTTCACATTCCCCATATGACCCACCAACTCTTCAACTTTTGATTCATGAGTGGAAAGCTTAGCTGCCTAATTGGGTTTGGTCTTGAAACTTAGCTATGAGAGTAAGAGAAACTTGTATATATAATCCCCCTATATTTTCTCTCCACACCATTTGACATGTCTCTTTGAGACATATCAATATCAATACGATGACCTCTTGTTATTAATTAAGGTAATAAAAAGAAAAGTAATATTCAACCCGCCGAGAAAATGGAGCAACTAACGTCTTTCTTGGGATGTGGAAGGATGCGAGGTGTACCAGCACAATGACCTCGGTGGTCGTGCGTGTGATTGGTGGGCCGCCTATGAAACAACTTCTTGGACCTCGGCCCATGACTAAATGGGTCGAGTCGAATCATTTGTGTAGATGGGCTTGCTTCCCCAAGATCCATTAAGAAATTGATTAAATAGACTGGAACAAACCCAATTCTAACTTTCAAATTGCACGAAAAGAGGCCCCACCCTTTTCTGTTTCACCAAGTTGGGCCCACTTTGGGGTCTTGAGGAGATACCAATTTGTTACACATAGCATTAGATTTTTGTATTTTATAAATCAAATGACAATTCATTAATGTCGGCATGTAGAGACGTGGAGCGTTCTCGAATAAATTACGTGGACAGAACCAAACGACGACGTGTCGAGCAATTTACTGGTTTCCAACTTTCCAATACATTAACTTAAGTTATGCACAAGCAAAACGGCGCCGTATCACTCCCCTGACATTTGGAAACGTCCTCCATGGCTAATGCAGTCCCAGGAGCCTTCTGAAGCCAGCGATTCACCCGCCAGCATACAGTTCTCCCTTACTGACCTTTGGATCTTTTCAAGAGCCACCCACCAATAATTAATTTAATTACAGAAAAATATCTGAAAACAAAGCCACTCTCAGTTCCCAATGTCTTCAGGTTCGAGCTCTACAAAATCAAACCCCACTCTCACTCTCTTCTCCATTTTACCTTCTTCAATCTTGATCGTCGTTGTAGAATCCCTAATTTTCTTTAATTTCATTTCTCTTTCTTGCTTGGCAAGCTACAGTTCGCGGACGAATGGCGAACCTAGCCAACTCTGTGTGCTTGAAGAACTCCGTTTCTCTCTGGTCCCCTCTTCAATCCCCAGCAGCTCACCGCTCTTCTTCAATCGGATTCAGAACCTTCCGCAGAAGCTACGTCGTTTCGTCTTCATCTTTCTCCAATGAGAACCGGGAGTGAGTCATTCGAAAATTCAGTCTTTTCAGCTTGAAATTTTCGCACCGGTTTTTAAAATTTTTGTGGAACTCTTTGTCTTTGCAGGTTTGTGATTGTTGGTGGTGGCAATGCGGCTGGCTATGCGGCAAGGACTTTCGTCGAACACGGAATGGCCGATGGACGCCTTTCGATCGTATCCAAAGAGGTAGTGAAATCAAATTTTCCATCCTTATTGAAATTTTTTATTTGGTTATTGTTATTGAAGTGAAGTTTTGCTGGGTTTTGTGAACAGGCCCATGCTCCTTATGAGCGTCCAGCCCTGACAAAAGGATATTTGTTCCCTTTAGATAAGAAGCCAGCACGATTACCTGTAAGCTGAAATCACACTTGAGTCTATGAATTTTGAGTATTTTCTGAAATATGAAAAATAATGGTCTTTATGGTAATGTTTTGGAGTTTAGAGTTTGAAATATTATTGTTATAGGGGTTTCATACTTGTGTTGGATCTGGTGGGGAGAGGCAAACACCTGACTGGTATAAAGAAAATGGGATAGAGGTAAATTTTTATTTTTATTCCTTTTCTTAGCATTTTCCCCAATTTTTGGAACTGCTTTATAAGTTAGTTTTTTGCAATGGTGCAAATGTCTACAATGTTGTTGCCTTTTTTCAACTTTCTATTTAGATGTTCTATGAAGATCCGGTTTCAAATATTGATATCGAAAAGCAGACCCTGACTACAAATTCTGGCAAACTGCTTAAGTATGGATCACTGATAGTCGCCACAGGATGTACAGCCTCAAGGTGGGTTTAGATAATTTTTGACAGTTACTGATTAGTTTATATGAATTATAAGTGCTGATAGATTGTACATAGCTAAACTAAAGCAAAGCTGCTTCCTTGAGAATGGTTTCAGGTTACCAGAGAAAATTGGAGGAAACCTACCTGGTGTTCATTATATCCGGGATGTTGCAGATGCTGATGCACTAATATCTTCACTGGTTAGTTTGAAATTAATTTGTTTTTAGTTTCTTTCCTTGTTGCAATTAATAAATGAAGTGCTTATGGAACAATGAAATAGATCTACCTCTTTAAACTTTTAATGCAACTGTTGGATATTGTCTGAGATTAATGGAGAAGTCCCACATCATTTACACAAGTGTATACTGTTTGAAGGTTTAGCTGTATTGTTTTGTTGAGTGTCATTTGGGACTTCAAAGCAAACTTGATTGACATAACGCAAGTGTGCTTGCTTTCTACGCTGCAGTACACTTTCATGTTCAGTCATAGTGTTTTTCTACTTTTTTCTATGTCGTATGAAGCTTGTGTATTACAATCATATTATGACACTATATCTGCTTTAGGAGTGTGGAAGTTGTTGTTCCTTGCAATTCATTAATTTATAAAGGAGATGCCTTCTTTCTTTTTTTCCAAATTTTGGAATGACTTATCAACATTCTGATTCACATAATCAATTATTTACTTGTAGCATTCAGTTAAAAGGTAATTTATTCAGACCCTGGATAAACAAAGTGCAAACCTTGTAAATTTATTTTAAGAGGTTTAATTTGTTCAATAATTTTCTTTTAGTCAATTAATACCTGGTTACATGTTCTCTTGTTGAACTATGTTTTATTGAGGTTTGGTTTGTTGTTTGGACTAGTAGCATATTCCTTTCAGTAAAATTTCGCATATTCTTCTCCAGGAGAAAGCACGGAAGGTGGTTGTTGTTGGTGGTGGTTATATTGGTATGGAGGTTGCTGCTGCTGCTATTGGTTGGAACCTTGATACAACTGTGCGTGTTATATTCAACTTGGTCCTTTTTTTGTTTCTTGGGATGACATAACAAAAATGTTCATGAAGTGAAAAAAGTTTTATGGAAAATTTGGACCTACATTTTTCTTCTCTTATTTTTTTATATTTCTTTTTGAAGATCGTATTTCCAGATAATCATCTTTTGCAAAGGCTGTTTACTCCTTCACTTGCCCAGAGATATGAAGAGTTCTACCAACAGAATGGTGTTAAATTCTTGAAAGTACTCTCTCTCTCTCTCTCTCTCTCTCTCTCTCTCTCTCTCTCTCTCTCTACTTTTGTAAACTTGACACTATACTGCATGTGATAATTTCCATTCGACCTGGATTATTAAGCTCATTTAAGTGTCGACCAGGGTGCCTCAATTAAAAATTTAGAAGCTGGTGTTGATGGACGTGTAACATATGTTAAGCTTGACGATGGATCTACTATAGAAGCAGACACAGTAAGTTTCTGATCCTACACATCCTTTGCTGTCAGGGTTTTTTCATCATTGTGTCACCTTTCCCCATTCATCTTGGATAATAAATGAAGATTTTCAAGATTTGTTTTCATATTAAATTAGAAAGAAAATATATATATATATGAAGAAGTTCATTGAATTGGAATACTTTCCCTTCTGTTTCTTTCCTTTTTGTAGGTAATTATTGGTATTGGCGCAAAACCTGCTGTCAGTCCTTTTGAAGGGGCGGGCTTGGATTCCAGTGTTGGTGGTATACAGGTGCATATCCAAATTTATGCTGCCACAAGTTGTGACACACAAATGACATTTTGCCTTTTGTTTTTTTTGAGCATATAATGCCGACATATATACTGTATTATGTATCGTGCACAACCTTTAGATAGATAGACTCAGATTTACATGCTAGATTAACTTTATTTTGTGCATATTAAACATATCAGAATATTAGAATCCTGAATTTAGAAATTTAACTTGGAACAACAATAATTTCAAAATCTGATAGCCAGGATTAGTTCAAGTAGAATGTCCATTTGCTTTTTATTGTTATTTATATCTTTGTACTTTGAAACCAAGGTTGATGGTCTGTTCCGGACGCGTGTACCTGGAATCTTTGCAGTGGGAGATGTTGCAGCATTCCCCTTGAAGGTATACCTTTATTTAAATTAAGCAGAAAAGTATTTCTTAATCTGAATTCTGAAAGAAAATATGTGTTCCACTGAACAGATGTATAACCGTATAGCGCGAGTTGAACATGTAGATCATGCTCGTCGTTCTGCACAGCATTGCGTTAAAGCTTTACTGAGTGCACAAACTGACATGTATGTTTGCCTCTCTATATTTGTAGTCTAGCCTTTAGAATACAAGATTAATTTCGTTTTTCTTGACTGCCTTTTGCTGAAACTTCCTTGCTGATGATTTGTGTTACTGCACAAAAATCCAGATATGATTATCTCCCATCTTTCTACTCGAGGGTATTTGAGTATGAAGGAAGCCCCAGGAAAATTTGGTGGCAATTTTTTGGGGACAATGGTAAGAATCTGTGATGCTTGCAATTTTATTGGCTCTAATTTATATGGTGTGTTTTTTTCACACTGTTGTCATTTTATTGAACAGTTGGAGAGACCATTGAAATTGGTAATTTTGATCCCAAGATTGCTACTTTCTGGATAGATTCTGGTAAACTATCTCTGTCTTTCACACTGTAGTTATTTTATTTATTTACAGCCGAAATGAAAAGTTTATTCTTGTTGTGCTTCAGGTAAATTGAAGGGTGTTCTTCTTGAGAGTGGAAGTCCCGAGGTACATTTTGTTCTGTTTTACTTTCTTTTTTTGCTAGACAAGGAACAGGGCTGGGCTTGAACCCTGACCATGTCGTTGGGGGCCAAGCTTTTGGATAGAAGTAATGATAGAGGAGTCGTAATGATAAGAAACAGATGCATGAATTAGTTTTCAAAATGGATTATGTGAGAGTTTTTCTTCTGAAATTTTGTACATTATCAGAAAAGACTGTCAATAATACCCAAAAAGGAGAATGAGTGCTAATATTATAATTCAACTAACTATCACCCTATCTGTAATTACAAGCATATCTTTTCCTGCATGGCCCTAACACCTCATGTTGTGTTGTCAAGGAATTTCAACTCCTTCCGAAACTTGCAAGGAGCCAGCCTATTGTTGATAAAGCCAAGCTTCAGAACGCAGCTTCAGTTGAGGAAGCACTAGAGATTGCCGGGTCATCGTTATAGGCCGAAAGCTGCAGTATAGCGAGGAAAAGAGCAGCTTGTTTATGTACTGTTAATCAAAACCCGAAAGAGTTTTGCAGGAGTATGCAGAGAAAGAGAGAGGTTGTATAATTCCTTTGTGGGATTTTTGTAGAAATGTCACCTGAACTTATACATTAGTTTCAATTTGTCACATTAAAAAAAAAATTAGGCGAAATGTCACCTAAAGTTTTCATAATCCATGATTTGTCACCTGACTTTAACGTCATCCAATTTTCCATCTATTTTAAAGGGTATTTTAGTCTTTCCAATATATAAACCTCTGTGAAGCTCTTTTTCTCAACAAAAAAAAAAGAAAAAAGAAAAGAAAAGAAAAAAGACAGAAGTTAAGAACAACGCCTAAACAACAGTTAGACTTTAGGGTTTCAATTTTTTTTTAAGGCATATTTGCGAGTTGTCAGCAACGTTGGGATTGATGGCGACTCTACGCTACAGAGTCACTGGGAACCCTACAAACTACGGTAAAGCTTTGCTTTCTACTTGGGAATCTCTGAAGTTTTTTCTTTTTATATGACAATGGGAGATTTGATTCATGGGATCCTTTTTTCTTTCTTTATGTTCTTTGGCTTTATTTATATGCTATTGCTTTGTTTTTTTAGATGTGGATGTTGAGAACCTAGTTAATATGGACCTAGAGAACCTAATTGATGTAGGTGTAGAAGATGAGGATTCTGAAAGCAAAAAGAGCTCAAGTATAAAGATAATGAGATTTTATGTTTTATTTTTATTTCATTAAATGTTGAGAAGTTGGCAATGAAATTTGATTTGGTACAGGTGAATGGAGAAGGTGATCCAAGAGGGCAAACTTCAGCAAATTCAAGCCAACAACAGTCACAGACAAATGGAGGAAATAGGACAAGTGAAACCTCAGCAAATCAAGCACTCTGTACCAAGAGGAATACAATCTGCAAGAAATATGTCTGAATCCAATGCACAAGTCTCAAACCCAAGTTCTTCTTCTACAAGAGCAAGCACAATGAAAACCAACACCAAGTCTTATGCCAAGAAGAATAACGTATGGAAACCATAAAGCACTTAGGTTTAATTGGTCTTGGTACCATGCAAAGTTTATTTTACAAACAGATAAAAATTGGGATTATGTTTTGAAGTGCTGTAGCTTTGTGGCCTCGGTACAAGTTGTAGACTTGGTCACGTTTTGAACCTATTTTGTGAACTCATTTTGGCTACTTTTGTTTTGCATATCAATTTCCAGATAATGTCTTTTGTGATAGCGAGAGATATCTTATTCTATTAGGATATTATTTTATTTATTTCCTTTTATATAGATATTATGTAATTAGGATTCCACTTGTTTTCCCAGTTTGACCCTACTAGGGTTTGTAACCTTGTATTATAAATACATCCTTTCCGGAGAATGAAATACATCTAAAAATATTCTACCATATTGTTTGACTTGGTATCAAAGCCGACTTTCTGGTGATCTGTGCGTGTTGTGCCCACCCGTGTTCTACTGTGTGCCTTAATTCCTTTTAGGGTTCTTGTGTCTGTGCTTTTGCCGTGTTTCGCTGTGTGCTTTGTCGTGTTCGTGCCTCTACTGTGTGCCTCTACTGTGTTCGTGCATTTGCTTCTACTGTGTTTGTGCCTCTGTTATCTTCGGGCATCTGCCATCTTTGTGTCTGTGCTGTGTTCTGTTGTATACTCTGCGTGATTTTTTGAGTTTCTGCTACAATCATGGGTGATAATTCCATTGTTGGTGCTGCTGCTGCTTCTGCAAATTTGCGTGTTTCTGACTCTATTCCAGGTACTGGCTCCAATACTTGGATAATTGACACTGGTGCTTCTGATCATATGACTTATGATGCTAAATTTTTTGATGAGTTGTCTAGTAACACCCGTGACCCATACATAACTAGTGCTAATGGTTTACCCTCTCCAATTACTGGCGAGGGCACCATTTCTCTCACCCCAACTCTGTCATTGTCTCGTGCGTTATTAGTTCCTAATATCCATTGCAACTTGTTCTCTGTTGATCGCTTACTTGATACATTTAATGCTTCTGCACTTTCTATCCTACCCATTGCTCTTTTCAGGATTTCAAGACTCACGAGGTGATTGGGCATGGTAAACGGATAGGGGGGTTGTATTATTTGACATTACCTTCTGCACCAGTTCGTGATCGTGTCGTTAATACTGTTCAACGTTGCAGTGTCAAAGACAAACAGCAAATTTGGTTATGGCATCGTCGCTTGGGACACCCGTCATTTGGCTACCTTAAGCGTCTGTTTCCATCTTTATTCCGCTCCTGTGATGAGTCTAGCTTCAAATGTGAGACTTGTGTAATGGCCAAGAGTCACCGTGCTGTTTTTCCCATAAGTAATAATAAAGCTGCTTTACCTTTTGAGTTAGTCCATTCTGATGTATGGGGTCCTGCTCGTGTGATTTCTCATGGTTTCTATTGGTTTGTTACGTTTATTGATGACTGCACTCGTTTAACATGGGTATATTTGATGAAGAATAAACATGATGTTGCATCTATTCTCCCTGATTTTTGTGCCATGGTGTCTACTCAGTTTCATGCTCATGTTAAAGTATTTTGGACCGATAATGGCGGTGAATATGTGAATCATACCTTGAACCAGTTCTTTCGTGATCACGGTATCATTCACCAAACTACTACTTCATTCACTCCTCAACAGAATGGCGTGTCTGAAAGGAAGAATCGTCAGTTACTTGAAGTTGCCCGCTCTCTTATGTTGGATATGTCTGTTCCCCATCATCTTTGGGGACATGGTGTCTTGGCTGCGGCCTACTTGATTAACCGTACTCCTAGTCGGGTTCTTGATTTCAAGACTCCGCTTGATGTGTTGTGTGCCCATACTCATCCAGTTTCCGTCTCTAAGTTACCTCCGAAGGTGTTTGGGTGTGTTGCTTATGTTCATGTCTACTCCCATCAACGGAGTAAACTTCATCCTGTGCTCTCCGTTGCGTCTTCATTGACTATTCTACTACTCAGAAGGGTTATAAGTGCTATCACCCGCCTACTCAGAAGGTACATGTTACATTGGATGTCACCTTTCATGAAGAAGTACCCTATTATGTTTCCCTCTCCTCTTCAATTCAGGGGGAGAGGGGGAGTGAATTGAAGAGTTTCGGAGTAGAAAATGTGGAAGATATTGGACCTGAAGAAGGAATTTCTGGCGAAAAGGAAGCGACCGGTCGCATGGAGGAAACGATCGGTCGCAAACGAATCTGCTTGGATACGACCGGTCGCATAGAAGTGAGCGACCGGTCGCTAACGAATCTGCCTGAAAGCGACCGGTCGCACATAGGAAACGACCAGTCGCCTGCCTCGATGAGCGACGACAATGACGATACGAGTGACGCGACCGGTCGCTAGGAATGTCACACCGGTCGCTCGGTAATATTTTGGAATTCTTTGAGCCTTTCTCAGAAGGACATAACAGTGATACTAGCGACTCTCGTACAGATGAAATTGATACAGGACCCCCCTCTGCCCTGCCACTGCTCCAATCAACTCGTGATAATGAGGTACTTTCTAGTGATGTGCCTACTTATTTATTGCCCCCACGCACTACCCGTAGGAAACCTAAAGTACAATATTCTCCTGATATACATGCCAAGTCCAAATATCTCATTAACCATTATATGTCAACTTATCGTTTATCTAAGTTATATGCATCATATTTGTGTCAATTATCTAGTGTATGTGTGCCAACTAAGTTGCAGGATGCTCTATCTGATCAAAACTGGGTAGATGCAATGCATATTGAGATGGAAGCCTTGAACAAGAATGCTACTTGGGAGTTAGTTCCTTTACCAAAAGGAAAAAGGCAGTTGGGTGCAGATGGATGTTTACTTTGAAACATAAGGCTGATGGTTCTATTGACCGTTACAAGGCAAGATTGATAGCAAAAGGGTATACTCAGACCTATGGAGTGGATTACACAGAGACTTTTGCTCCAGTAGCAAAGCTTAACACTGTGCGCGTGCTCTTGTCCTTAGCTGCTAACCATGATTGGCCGCTGTTACAATTTGATGTCAAAAATGCATTCCTCCATGGGGATCTCAAGGAAGAAATATATATGGATCCTCCGCCAGGTATCCCTATGACTTCTAAGGAGGGTGTGGTGTGCAAGCTACGGAAATCCACCAGGCATCCTTGTGACCTTTAAGGAGGGTATGGTGTGCAAGCTACGGAAATCATTGTATGGATTAAAGCAGTCTCCAAGAGCTTGGTTCGGGAGGTTTGCTGCAGCTATGAGGAAATCTGGGTATGTACAAAGTAACTCGGATCATACTTTGTTTCTGAAACGTCGCAGAGGTAATTTGACAGTTTTAATAATTTATGTTGATGATATGATTGTAACTGGAGATGATCAGGTAGAAATACAGAGTCTTCAGAAATGTCTTGCGTCTGAATTTGAGATGAAATCATTAGGTGACTTGAAATACTTTCTTGGGATTGAAGTTGCTAGATTTAAGCATGGTATTTTTCTGTCCCAAAGAAAGTATGTTTTGGACTTGCTTGCAGAAACTGGAATGTTGGATTGTAAACCTATTGATACTCCAAGTGAACAGAATCACAAGTTGGGGTTGTATCCTGATCAAGCTCCTACTGATAAGGAGCGTTATCAAAGGCTTGTGGGAAAATTAATTTATTTGGCTCATACACGTCCTGATATTGCGTATGCAGTAAGTATAGTGAGTCAATTTATGCACTCACCTAGTGAAGATCATATGGGTGTCGTGACACGTATTTTGAGATACCTCAAAGGGACTCCTGGCAAGGGGTTAATGTTTTCCAAGTATGGTCATACAGATGTGGAAGGGTACACAGATGCTGATTGGGCTGGTTCAGCTACAGATAGGCGCTCGACATTTGGGTATTTTATGTTTGTTGGTGGCAATCTTGTTACGTGGATGAGCAAGAAACAAAAGGTGGTGTCTCGGTCTAGTGCTGAGGCCGAATATCGGGGAATGACCCATGGTGTATCTGAATTACTATGGTTAAGGAGATTGTTGAGAGACCTTGGTTTTGGGCCTAAGAAACCCATGGATTTATATTGTGACAATATGGCTGCGATTGCAATTGCTCATAACCCTGTACAACATGATCGTACAAAGCATGTGGAAGTTGATCGAAATTTCATTAGAGAAAAGTTGGATGCGGAGATTGTTTCCTTTCCGTTCATCCGTTCTAAGTACCAGTTAGCCGATGT